AGCATTTTCATCATTAAGAGCTTCAACCCAAAGTTCCGGCTCTTTCCGACGCACGAGATATCGAGCCTCAGTTTTGAAGAGCGAATTTTCATTACAGACCTGTTAAAGATCATAGACAAGACTAGAAACTTTTCAAGAGAGAGAAATCAAAAAAATCAAAATGAAATACGCGAATAAGCTCCTGATCACATTGTCCCCGTTCATATGCAACGCAAGCCAAGTGCGGGTCTCGCTTCTCACAATACTTGCCAACAACGCGGCTGTCATAGAATTGATTTTCCCGAAGAAATCTTTCAGGGTTGTTGTTGGAATCAATGTAGATCTTGGCCAATGCATTGTGCGTAGCTGGCTCCACACAGCCCTCATGAATGCGGGATTCAAGCCAAGGCAAAAGAAGTTTGAGTCGGTTGCGCTTCTCAACCTCTGCAACCAATTCATCCGTGTCGAACTGACCTTAATAGTTGGTTGTTAAAAAATGCATCGAGTTTTACCAAAATATTAGGATGATATGTTGGGAATTTAAATAAAATAGGGTACAAATAACGAAGGTTGAAATGCAGAATTTGAATCATGGAGTAGGATTGTTGAGCATATGGATTTAATTGAATAAGCTAAGAACAAACGGAAGATATCCTTCGTTTATAAGTAAGTTTTCGAGACTACCAGCAGATCATCTATATTATATGTATCCATCCTATTTCCGTAAGGCGCTAAGGGGACTGGTAAGGCTATGTGAAATTTAGTGAAAACTTAAGGTATACTCAAATGAGTATACCTAGTCCCCTCATAACCTTTAACAAAATATGGTAAACACATCTCATATAAACAGATATGTTAATTAAAGATCAGGTGGATTGGATAAGGTAAAAGAGAAGAATAAATACGTAAAACCAAGCCAAAACAGGAGTAGAAATAGTATATAAGAAGAACCGGCTTGTTGTAACTTCCATTTCATTTGAAAAGATTGGTAAAAATAAATTGGCCTCATCGAAAGTCATAAGAAGATCGTCCTGGCATTGTGACTTGATTTGATCCTGGAAGTCCTATACACACCTTCCTGTGATTCTGAGTAGGCTGTGCTGAGCTTTCGCCTGTCATGTGAAAGATATTTCCAA